CGCCGCCGACGGCTACGTGCCGTCCCTCGGCCGATCTTACATATTATCCAACAACTACCGAACACCTCAGCATGATTATTAAACTGAAGCAATTTAAGGACTAATAACACGGACAATTATGCTTAATACTGAAAGTAACAAGCCTCGGCCCGCGGCTACCCGATGCTACGCGCGATAGGCGCGGGGGCGCCGGCTGGGGCCATTTCATCGGCTTTTCTTCATTTTGCCTCAATAATCTGATCATACTGAACTCAAAATGGACTATACTGAACATTCACATGATTTTGGTTCGAAAGTTGACGGAAGAATTTGAATTTTGCTCGGTGATAACCTTACTTAAACATACATGGACTTAGGTACGGTTTTCTTAGAATTTCTCAAATAAAATCTGAACAATTCACTCTGAACTGAACTTACTACTAGGATTATGAATTGAACAAGGTAATACCTTCTCTGCTGAACTGATCTAAGTCGGGAAACAGGTACGGCCTTCCTTCCTCGCGCGTCCCCGTGCGATGCCTTCACTTGCCGTGCGTTTGCTATGAAACTTAGGGAAAATCTTGCTGAATAGCGTGCTGAGTATAAAGGGCTTAGAGAAGATATAGCTCTGAATTTCTATAGGAGAAGATGGGGGGGAAAATTTGCCCAAGTGCTACCTTATATAGAGAGAGCCGAAGGGTTGATGGTGATGATGTGTTGGTGGCGTGGCCACCCTCTACACATTACACTTGCTAAAATCTTAAGTCATGCTTGATGACTAATCTTCTCTATTGTCTAACAAATGGTATAATATGATTGGTTAAAAGAAAACTTCCCTAAGGCTTAAGGATGCTCACGGCTATTAGGAAGATTTTTGGGAAAAATAGCCTTAACTTCACGGCAATTAGGGTTTCTTGTGATTAATCACTAATTAATCACTATCTTTATGTTTAATTGCTAATTAAACATAATACTTAATTACCAAAATTATTTCGGACGTAAACGGTACGCCGAAAATAAATTTCGGTAATCCCGACTGAACTTAATTAATTCCGAAAATAATAAACGATAACGTTACTATATCGGAATTAAACGTAATTTATACTGATAATATCTCGGGATATTACAATCACTATATGCATGTTGAAGTAGTTTTGAAAGAATGTGATAGATTAGGAATAATCCTGTTTGAAAAGAAAACTCAATTATTTAAAACTAAAATTGATTTTTTAGGATTAACAATTGAAGAAGGTTTTCACAAACCTCAAAATCATATTTTGGATCATATCCATAAGTTCCCAGATAAACTCGAAGATAAAAAACATTTAATGCGCTTTTTAGGTGTATTAACTTATGATTCAGATTATATTCCTATAGGCTCACAGGTTGGAAGACTAAAACATTGAATTTGGCGGGACGTGCCACCTTGATTAGCTCATTAGCTAGTATAAGGGCTCCTTTACAAGCTAAATTAAAGGAAGATAAAAAATGGTATTGGTCAGAAACCGATATTAATTACATGAAGAAAATACAGAAAAATCTAACAAATTTCCTTTATTATATCTTCCAAAAACAGATGATCAGCTGATCATTGAAACAGATGCATCAAATGCATACTGGGGTGGTGTTTTAAAAGCACTATCTAAAGAAAAAGAGTATATCTGTCGATATGCCTCAGGAAGTTTTAATTCCGCTGAAAAGAATTATCACTCAAATGAAAAAGAATATCTTGCGGTAATAAAAACCATAAAGAAATTTACAATTTATCTCACTCCTTATAGATTTATCGTTAGGACAGATAACAAAAATTTCACTTATTTCTTAAAAACCAAGATGAAAGGTGATAGTAAACAAGGTAGACTTGTAAGATGGCAATTTGATGTGCAACATATTGCAGGAAATTTAATGATCTTTGATAAAATGTTTATAGGATTAAGGCTCAATGGAGCACATAACCAGTCACAGGCGGTGACAATAGGGAGTTGCTTCCCAGGCATGATTTATGCTTGATAAAGCATCATCTATAATGGATGAATTACAACAACTTCGGTTGCAAGAAGGACTTCTGGTCCAAGAACTTGAATTGGTTCGTGCCAAAATCAAGTATGTAAGCTTGTTCAAAGCTGGACAAAAAAGAGATTTATACTGTCTCTATTCCAACAATGGAACAAACGAGTAATGTAGCAAGCCTAGCTTGTGAACAAAAAGAGAAAATTTCATCTCCTCCAGATCTTATAGATCTCGAAGGTGAAACTAGTACAGAGCAAATGGCTACTGGTAAAGACTCATCAAGTCCGTTAATAGCTAGCAACTTGCTAAAAGCGACAATAGGTATTAAATTACCAACAACGTCGGATAATTTTGATGGTTTAAACCTCAAACCGAACGATGGAACCTCTGTTCCTAAACAGATAGAATCACTTGATAGTGATAAGGGAATTCAAATCCCAAATAAAAGAGACACAACATATTATGTCGTGTTCAATGGCCCAAATGCAGGTATCTATCAAGAATGGGAGATTACCAAAAAGGATACAAGTGGTATTTCTGGTGTTTCACATAAAAGTACAAAATTTTCTTTGAGGCTCGTATTGCAGCGGACCAGTACTCAAGAATAAATGCAATAGCTCCCCTTGAGCTAATTTGCACAGCAGATGGACTTCAGCCCAACACATTTACTGCAGCCTTAAAAAAGCCCAGAAAGCAGGAAAGGCTCCGGACTCTTGGAAAACTTCCCAAACTTCCCAAGAAACAAGAAGCCCAACAAGAAGAACAAGTCACTCTGGTTCAACTTCCAAAAGAGGGTCTTGAATATTGGATTAACCTGGCCCGAAGCAGTGGTGAAGCGGAAATCCTTACGGACAAATACTTCACGACAAATGGGAAGGACTTGAGGTTCTTCAATTTTATAAAAAACACAAATCCAAAAATGGTAATCGAAACGTTTGAATATGATATGGTAAAAACCATATATCCCAGCCAGACTTTGAAAGAACTACAGGAATTACCTCAAAACGTTCTTAAGTCAATCAAGCAATACATGAAAAAATGTGTTCATGGAGAAAAGGACATATTCCTAAAAATCACTAGTTCAGTACCCATCTGGATTAATGATAAAATTATCCTGGCCAAACATCTAATAAT